GGGGGGGGGGATGACCCCGATTATTTTATTAGTTACAAATAATATTATTAAAAATTTAATAAATTATGAATTATGATTTATTAAATTATCTATGCATTCCTCGACTCCTTGCCAGCAACCCAATCAAGAACTAAAAATAAATATTTTTTAACAGTGTAAAATATCTGGGATAAACTGCTAATATTTTGCTTTCTGAAGAAAAGGCTCCACAAAATGAAACCTAAAACATTTTGACAACATAAAACAGGTTTTAATTTTCTGTTTTCTTCTAAGATTGAAAACTTGCGTTCCAGTTATAAATAAAGGATAGAAATAAAAAAACTCAATTTTGCTGATTATTGACAATTTTTAGTAACGTTTGAGGATCGTTAACACAACATTAGTGTACTTTTTTTAATGCAGTGAACACAATTTAATAAAACTTATATAGAGATTTNAACTTATATAGAGATATAAATCTTACAGACACATTTTTGCTCAAACTTATATAGAGATATACATCTTACAGACACATTTTTGCTCAAACTTATATGGAGATATACATCTTACAGACACATTTTCGGCTGCCTCAAATAAAACCTGATATGTTTTCTAAAATGAAATGAAATGAAATGAAATGAAATGAAATGAAATGAAATGAAATGAAATGAAATGAAATGAAATGAAACTTTAAGACTTGAAATAACTATAATAAATCAAATGTGAAGTTTGGGTTTACATTTTGTAATACTTAAATCAGCTGATAAAATTGTTCGTTCAAATTACATCAAATACGCCAATGTATACGTTTACTATCCTTTCACCCCGTGGACCATAACTATCTTGAATTGAATGAGACATTAAGAGACGACGACAGTTTTTTACCTTTTTGCCATTCAGAAAACAGTGTATGATTCCCGGATATTTGTTTTTCCGCTGAACCGACATCAGAATCCTGTCCACTCCCACCCTGACTGTTCTCATCTTTATTCTTAGAAGCATCCAGAGCAGTCTTTTCATCATTAGGACTTTTCACGCTAGCATTGTTCTAATAATTAAAACAAAATAAATGTTTTTAAAGTAATGTTATGTAACAAAAAGAGATGATCAGAGATGGAAATTTTTTAATGTGAGATAGATAGTTCATCTGTAAGTCTAGTTCAGCAATCTCATTGGTTAAAACAAAAAATTGCCAGACATTCAATTTGTTCTTAAAGGGAGAAACCGACTAGACATGGTATTTGAGCTAATGGTGCAGTATTGTAGAAAAAAACTTAGGATTCGTTTGATACCAATGAGATATTTCTACGGTGTACACTGTACAAATTCTAAATAAAAGCGTAAAGTCGTTTTTAATATTCCACTGGGCTTCACCGACAAAGGGTCAAACGACACAGGGTCAAACGACAAAGGGTCAAACGACACTGGGTTAAACGACAAAGGGTCAAAAGCGCGACAAAGGGTAAAAAATGCGACAAAGGGGCAAATTTTTTTTATTTTGACATCTGTTACAGTAATATATATATTTGTATATATGTTAGCTATAGCTGGACAAACGGCTGAACCAAATTGGCTGAAATTTTTTTTCAATCAAAGTTTAAAAAATGTTACTTGTAAAATTCGATTAATTTTTTTCACTGGCAACGCTTGGCACTTGAGCTAGTATTAGTTTACTTTAATAATTACTTTTAATAATCCTTTACAACGTTTAAATCAAAGGTTAAATAAGAAATTTGGTTGAAAATTTGTACCTCCTCATTTTCTTCAATATCCTCCATTACCTCCTCCCGCAGTACCTTATTTCCTCCGACTCTCTGGTTTAAAAAAAATTATTTAGTTCTTTCAAATATTTTATGACAGTTGGTAAATAGTTTTGAATGTCGTCTTTCATACACTGTATTGGATAGTACCGGCTTTATGCAGTTTATTTCGTTTAAAAAATCTTTTGCTCAAATATATTTTTCTTTGAATTTAATTTTACGATAACGTGACGCCTATAAAATATTCTTAATATTGTCTTTAAACAAATTATGGAAGAAGACATTTTAAACTATTTACCAACTGTCATGTTTCGTGGGACACCCTGTTTATACTTTTCTTGTCTGTTTGTATGTTTGTGACCGTTAAACGTCAAAACGGCTGAACCTCTCTGGGACCTCAGATTCTCCCAGGGAAGGTTTATGCATTATATGAATTGAAAAATTTGCCTTAAGTTAAAGAGCAAGAATTAAAAGTTAGCAACGAAAATGGGCCTAGTATATTCAAGAGGCTTTATTTAGTACCCTTAAAAGCTTTGTCTGCACATGTAAGATTTAAACATCCTTTTTTTTATTTGGAAAACCAAATAGTGATTATTTTCAATTGTGGTTTGTCCAAAAAAAAACTTGCACATTTCTACTGTATGAAATTATTGAGGAATTAACAGAATTAAACACTTTTGAACATAAAAAAACGACAATATCTTTCACTTTTATTGATCAGATAAAAGTTTAAGGGTACTGTTTTAAATAGGGAAGTGCCATCTTTCCGTGAAGAATATTGACCCTGACCGGGTCCGAGACGGTCAAAATTGATCGGGCGGTCAACTTTGGCCGATGCCGAGCCGGACATAATTGGCCGGGTTCTGTATCTCCACTACCCTTCATTGAGCAAAATTGAAACTTTAGATCTACTCTATTGACAGTATAACGAGTATACTCTGTGAATTTCAGCGAGATCGGAAAGATATTTTTGTCTCGTCACAAATGGGTTAATAAGTAAATAATCAAAGAAACCCGGCGGACAGCTAATAACGACGTTTCCAAACTCTACAATAAGTATCATTTGAATTTCGACAGGAGGGATATTTTTCAAGAAAGTTCCTATGCTTATAAGATAGTTATTTATCGAGATTCGATAAAAATAAATGCACTCCCAAATACACAGCTTTAGATAAAAGAAAGTCAACAACTAAGATTTCCTACTTTAAGCAGTTCTTTGCTATAAAATAAGTTTACTGAGAAATAATTCACCTGCTCTTTTCCTGGTATTTCTTCCTCGAAAATTATATCGGCGTCTTCTACAAGGAAAAACACTTTTATGAATATTGAATAGCCTAATCACAATCCCCCACTCCGACCTCCATGCTACTGTTTAGCTCTAGATTGTGGAATTTGTATAAACAAAGGTGCCGCTTGTTCGAGCAAATTCACTGTTCAAGACAGAAACTCAAAAAGCTTTTTTATGTAACTTTAAAGTGACTCTTGACTTTACGAGTACCTGATTCACAACCTGTACCTTTTAAACCTTGGACTAAACAATAAGAAAGATAAAGTTTAAATGGCTGAATCATATAACTCTTTAAAGGAAGAGTCAATTAAAATTACGTTCACAGTCCCTTTAAAATTGGTTTAAACTTACCCTTGAGATGAGCATACTTGTCTTGAATTTGATCTGAATTAAGCTGTTCAACCACCTCGTCGTTCTTGTCCAGAGGAACCAATTTCAGCGCTAACTTCACCTCCTTCTCAAAATCATCTCCACTCATCTGTAAATCATATTAATAAGTAACTTCACCTCCTTCTCAAAATCATCTCCACTCATCTGTAAATCATATTAAGTATTGTTTATTTCATTACTGATTTCAATGAAATAAAAATAATATGGAATATATTTAGTGATTGTGGTTTCTAAAGAGGGGAGGAAGAATGATTTTTCATGAAAATATACACCCCTGAACTTCATCCACCCCTTCATTTTATATCTCCTGTCACTTTTTTTACTGGAATCGTTAGAAATGGCTAATTTGCAGTTCTAACAACAAAAATACAAAACTAATCAAATGAAACAACATTTTCCATAAAAAGTTAAAATACGCACCTTGGCGGGTTTAAACTGTTTAGCAAGTGATTCCAACGCCTTCTCAAACCGGAGAATATCCATTATATCCTTTTTCCCGTATACAGATAGTTTCCCTGGTACATAAACATAAGCATACTCCCGGTCCGTTCCAGAACATCTAATCAACAAGGAACCATTTTATAATTAAGGGTATATATTCTCATTAAAAATGTTGAGAAAAATATTTTATGATTTTCTGCTCTATTGGGGAATATTTTTTTTTGGTCATAAGTGTTAGAAAAGGGGGGGGCCCAGAAGTACTCAACGAGTAATTACCACCACCCAAATGTGTTTTGCGGCAGAAGGGGTAAATATGTTTCCAAGAATATGCCCCCCCCCCCTTCTGGTTAAATTGGAGGAAGCCTTAAGTTCTTATCTTGTAAACCCTCTCACGAATTTTCCCGAAAAATAAAAAAAATGAATTTTCAGTGTTACTTTGAATTTATCTTTGCTTCATCAACTAAATAAATGAATACAAATTTAAACAAATATTTCTTTTACGCAGGCCAACGTTTCTTTTGAAGGGTGAACTATGGGACACTTTTTTGATAAACATGCTCAAATCAACCTTACCCAACTTTTTCTTTGATATAGTTTGAATGATCTTTGCTTTAGTGTTCATATCAATTAAAAATAGTCCAATTAAATCAAGATGGTTATCAAAATATCAGTCTTGAAACTTTTTTTTTGGATGAGGAAAATAGAAGGAACTATGTTTTTTCCCTTTTTCTTTGGATTTTGCACAGTTTTATGTGTGAGGCAAAACTAGCAGATACAAAAATCCCCCTTTTTATTTATCTCGGCCGGCTATTCCTAATTTTTTTTACTAAGGTTTGAGGTATACCAAAAGGTGTGTATATTTTGATTTAGGTTTAGTCAAGAATAGGTTTGATCCAAATGCAGATTTGAATTTTAGGGGAGGTCAAATTTGTCGGAGGTCCGTTCCTTTTCACGACGATCTGCATCACAGCCTTTCCGAGGTCAATTTTGTAGCTCATTTTTACACCCCAGAGGTCCAACTAAAACTGAATTATTTCTTCTTCTGAAATTATTGATAAAAAATCTGCAATAATTGCTATTTTTGCCGCTTTTTCTCCATTTTATCTGAAATTACAGGAAATACAGGGATAACAGGGTAACAGGTTTTAAATATATTTTTATTTCAGAGTTATATTTTCTTAAAGTGAGTTTACAGTAATAACTTGGGTCCAGAACTGGACCAGTAACTTTTAAATGGATAAAATGATTTAATCCCATTATCTTGCTAAACACTCTTGGGTCCAGAACTGAACCAGTAACTTTTAAATGGATAAAGTGATTTAATCCCATTATCTTGATAAACACTCTTGGGTCCAGAACTGAACCAGTAACTTTTAAATGGATAAAATGATTTTATCCCATTATCTTGCTAAACACTTTTGGGTCCAGAACTGAACCAGTAACTTTTAAATGGATAAAATGATTTAATCCCATTATCTTTGTAGAAGATTACCCACTCTTAATGCAAATCTACGAAATATGGCCAGAGCTGAAAACTCTTGTATTGTGGATATCGAGATCACTACTTGATCTCTTTTTTGCTAATCTGCAGATTAATTCATTCTTTAAATTGATATCTAGGAAAGTGTACAAAGTTCATCTAATCAGAGTGTGTTTGCAGAAACCGAACAGTTAATCAGAAGAAACCAATGAGTGAACTCTTATTGGTCGGAACCCAGAAGAGAGGATCAAGCAGAAAATTGAAAGTGTCCACAGTGGATATCAAGATTAAGTAGACAGGATTACGGGTGTCTAACACTTAAGTTTCCAGATAATTTGATTTTAAATATTTTACTCAATATATCCGCTAAAAGTTACAGCTCAGTCGATAAATGTAAAACTCACAAAACTTAAGTGTACTTTTACGAGACAAAAAATGATAAAGATATCAGCAGAAATATAATACACAATTATTAACTTTTCAACATTTTCTTTATTTTGTTAATTTTTAGATAAGAAAATATTTCTGCAATCATCACATTGAAGATTAATAATATATCTATTGAAAACAAAATAATTTTATATATTTGCCATGTGCCATAAATATTTATTTCCATTTTTAAACCATTTCATATAATTGTTAAGTTCTATTTTGTAATTCAGAGAAGTATTTTAAGAAAACATTTTTAATCTTGACAAAAATAAACTTTAATAAAAATAAAATTCAATTTTAGCTGCAGTATTTCAGAAAAAAATCGTTCATTTTATCAGGTTCTTGATAATATAGTTTATAAAGTATAACTTTGTTTATAATTATCAATTTAGATTGAATTAGTGCTGTATTAGTTTTAACAGGTGAGCAAATAAAATTCTCTTCTTGTATGTAGAATATTTTTCTTGTTTGTGTGTTAGAAAATAATTTTCCTGTTTGTGTGTTAGAAAATGTTTTTGTGTTGTGTGTTAGAAAATGCTTAAAATACTCTTGAAATATCAAACATTAAACATATGTAACAAAGACTTTCCAAAAAAACAGATTCAATGATTATGAAAAAATTACATTTAGCCGAAATATTTCTCAAATGGGTTTTCAAAATTCCTGCGCATCTTAAGAAGCCCTTTATGAATTCATTAAATACTGTAATTTTACTCTTCCATAAACTAGACCTTTCATCAACTATATCTTGAGCACCTCTTGACCATCTCTTAATCCTTCTCTCACTCTCTTGACCATCTCTTGACATTTTCTTGATCCTTCCCTGTATCCTTCTTTTGATCTTTCTCTTGATCCTTCTAATGGCCTTTTCTTAAACCTTCTCTTAAACTTCTCTTGATCCTTTTCTTAAACTTCTCTTGCTATTCTCTTGGTAATCTTGACCATCTGTACACCATATTTTGACCATCACTCGACTCTTTTTTGGGAATCTTGGCAATCTTTACCATCTCTTGAACAATTTTATCTACAATCCATCTGACTATATTTCTAAATCCTTAAAACCCTCAGCGCTGAAATTATTTACAGCATCAAACGAAACACTTAAAAGACTTGTTAAACCGCAGAAACTAAATAAAGCATCGGAAACCCTATTTTCCAGCTTATACAGACAGGGAAAGGGTAGGAACAGGGTTATGGTACATTAGAGCAACATCTAGCTGTAAACTTTGTGCATTTCTTTCAGCTCAGGATAGGAACGTTCTTACTGTACCCTGGATACCACAGCGACACACGGGGCAGTCCTGAATCAATCCATCAATCAACCAATCAATTCATCAACTCATTAATCAATTCATCAATTCATCAATCAATTCATCAATTCATCAATTCACCTATCAATTCATCAATTAATTCATCAATTCATCAATCAATTGATCAATCAATTGATCAATTTTTCAATCGATTCATCAATCAATTCATTAATCAATTCATCAATTCATCATTCATTTCATCAATCAATTCATCAATTCATCAATCCATCAATCAATTCATCAATCCATCAATCAATTCATCAATCAATTGATCAATCAATTCATGAGTGTTTAAGCTTCTATCTATTTATTGATAGGTGGTTAAATATTGTGAAGAAGACGACTGCGAGGGATGTACAGTACTGCTGATTTTGCCGCAACCCTTTCCTTCCTCACTACCCACATGTTGTTACTTCTCCCCCCGACTCTACCTCACTTCTATACCAGCTCTTGGACCGTCAACCTCTCCCGGTCTCCTCCCTTTTACTTGTTAACCCTCCATCCCTCCCTTCCCCGCTTCCTTTGGTTTAGGTAGGTTTCACCGGGGGTTTCTTTCTTTTAGACTATTACTCTACTCTACTAACCTCTAACTCTTTACCTCCTAGTCTAAAAATACCTGTTACCTACCTATACTCTCTGTGGCCTGTTACTTACCTTGCAACTCTGTACCAAATATTTACTAGGCAAACCCCTCTGGTGTTACTAGATCTGCTGACCGACTACTCTGGGTCTTCAGTTCCATCTAGTTCACCTCCCTGCTTCCTACTTCCTATCTCTTTCTCTTTCTTACTTCCACAGCCTTCTGTACTTCTCAGGTAGAGTCTGTTCATCAATCAATTCACCAATTCATTAATCAATTCACCAATTCATTAATCAATTCACCAATTCATTAATCAATTCACCAATTCATTAATCAATTCACCAATTCATTAATAAATTCATCAATTCATCATTTCATCAATCAATTCATCAATTCAACAATTCCTCAATCAATTCCTCAATTCATCCAATCAATTCATCAATTCATCAACTAATTAATTCATTGATAAATTCATCAATCAATCAATCAACCAATCAACCATCTTTTTATTTTGAGAGAAATAACAATTTCAATAAATCATAATTTGAAAAGTTACCTTAAGAGACGGGGCACAGCTGACGCAACAGATAAGATGTCCACAAGGTAGGAAAACAACTCCGACCTGATGATAAATAAGTTACAGAGCGTCCCATATCATATTGGATATTTCTAAGCTTTAACGCCAAAATACGCAAATAATACTCGAAAAAAAACCAAGTATTTTCCGCTAGCAAATTTTTACATTAGCCTTATGTAATTTTTCGAATGAAAATGATTATTTCTTCTTGAATTTTCTGATCAGTCCCGAAAATCGTTATTTAGAGCCATAAACGATCCATTAAATTATGGGACACCATTAAAAAAAACGGTAAACCCTTCCTTAAAAATTAATTACCCACCCCCCTATTTAACCCCTTACTCCCACAGATATTAGGTATATTGTCGTGTAGCGGCAACTTTTTCAAGGGGTTATTCGCTGATTTGGGATTAAATACACAAATAATACTCGAAAAATACCTAGTATTTTCCGCAAGCAAATTTTTACATTAGCCGTATGCAATTTTTCAAATGAAAATGTTTAATTCTTTATAAATGTGCTGACACGTCCCGAAAATTGTTTTTTAGAGCCATAAACATCCTTTAAATTATGGGACACCCTGTATGTCAACTTTCCCTTCTACCATTAAACAAAACGGTAAACCCTTCCTTGAAAATTAATTCCCCACCCCCCTATTTAACCCCTTACTCCCACAGATATTAGGTATATTGTCGTGTAGCGGCAACTTTTTCAAGGGGTTATTCGCTGATTTGGGATTAATTAAGGGTGTCAAAACTTGCTAGTTGATGTCCAATTTTCAATATATTATTTTAACGCAATTTTTTTAAGTAAAAACCCCTCAACTAATCATTCATTAGTTAATGAAAAGTCTTTCTCCCCCCCTCAATAGAATACTTTTCCCTTACCGTTAGCATTACTTTTTTAAAAATTCTGTCCCCTACAATGTTTAATTTATGAATTAAAATTATTCAAATAACAATATTCACCTCTCCGTCCATACAAACTTTACACGTCCTCTGTTCTTTTAACCTCGCATTCTCATCCTCCAAACTCTCTTCCTTCTCCAGACCTGAGGAGGATCCCGGGAGGACAGAAGGCTGTGAGGAGGATGCCGGGAGGACAGGAGGCTGTGAGCTTGTAGCCTCGGATGAAGAATTTGGAGCAGCCTCGGACTTGGCTGGAGAAGCAGGTGTTTGTGGAGCGGAGGTTGAGGATTTGGGAGCTGGGGGAGTAGGTAGGGAGCTTGTGGAGGGACGGATAGCGCTGCGGCTCAGGTTTACTCCAGTGGGAAGAGATGTAAACGACATCTATGCAAGAAATTTATTCTATTTTTGTAAAATTTATTGTCTAGGAAAAATTTATTTGTTTGACAGGTTCATTTTTTAGAACTTAAAATGTTTTAAATTTCTGGATTACTGAATTGATTACTAAATTACAGAATAAATTACTAAACTACTGAATGGAATACTGAATTCTACTGAAGTTAACCGAAGAATTTAGACTAGAAGAAGTAATCTTTATAAGAGTTTAGCTCAGATATATTTTAATATATAAAGTTTTGCTAATTTATTCTAGATTTTGGAAATGTTCTTCTTTTTTAGTAGAGGGACATGTCTTGAATTTATATCAAATCTAATTTCTACTTATAATGCATGGAACCACAGTTCAGGCATTTAATTATCAATTTTCAGACAGAAAAACAATAATATCTTCGTTATTCTTTAGAATACAAAGGTTTCAAGTTGACCGTTAACACTTAGAAATAAAACTTTTAAAATTGCAGGTCATTTAAAGTTACGTCGACTGTTTCTTTTATAATTTGCGATTAAGAGCGAATTGTTTCATTTTATGTTTTGATTACTATTTCGGATCCAGGCAGATAAAATATTATAATATTTACCGGTATCTCGTCCTCGTCCTCTGTTGTGTCTCCGAGCTGGTTCAATCCCTCCTCCCAGTGCCTGGACGTCACCTCATCAAAGCTCCGTCGTCCTCCTACAGAACATCAATAATATTAGATGTATTTATTTTTCAGGGGGTATATATTCAAAAATCACCCCCACCCCTCTCTTCTTCGTCTAAACCTTAATTTCTCTTGAACTTTGTCAAAAATAATTAGGTGAAGCAAAAAAGGGGGTTTTAGAAAAAGGGTAAATAATGCTTTTTAGAAAAATGTATTAAAAGTAAAAAATATACTTTCCAATATTCCCCTCTCCCCCCCCCCCCCAATACTAATTCTAAAAATTTCTGCAATCCCAGCCCCCCACCCCCTCATTACCAAAGATTACCTAAAACAGCCCCACTGGGATAGTTGTGCTCCCTGGTAACCCGGCGCTCCTGACTTCTCTGAACAGCAAATGCCGCGTTAATTAAATTCTCCGGAGTATCGAATCCAGCGCCGTAATCCTCCAGCTGTTTTTTGATCGCCATTTTAACCCTAAACATAACATAATAGAGAAAACGTTCAAACTATTTATGAGTCCGCAAACAGATCCAGTAGACAAAACGTTTAAACTGAATGGAGGTTATGATAAACAATTTTTCAGGATCAAGAAATCAGTTTGAATTTAAATTGAGCCAGTAAAAAATAACTATGTCCAAGAAAAATAAAAAGTTGTCGGTTCTGATTTTCAATCAATTTGCCTGAGATCTAACCTTGAATGATCAATCCCCATTGATAGAACTTGACGTACAAGAGTCTCTGACATAACTGATCGTATGTCCTCCTCTGTTACTTCTCTAGACTCAGGAACAGATTCTGAACAAACATTTTAAATCAAATTTTAGCCTGAAGGGACTGCCCACGTAGTTTCATATCATATTTTAGAAACATCAGATAGAAGAGAAGTAGTAAATTATGGTGTTCAAGAACGATCATATAATAATGCTCTTCGTTCATATATATAAATATGTATGTCAGGTATAGCTGGCAAAATGGCTGGACCAAATTGACTGACATTTTCTTTAGGGAATCCCTGGGCTTCCCGGGGGTAACCTAGGCTAAACATTTTTCGATTTTATTTTTCAAAATTCAAATTTATTTGTCAAGTGTTTTAAAATTTCACGGACATCGCCGGGCACTTCAGCTATAACAGGAGGACCAAGAATAATGATTAATGATTGAGCGGCGATTGTAATAAAATAGTTTGTTAATATGATAATTTGATCTTTTACCCGCATTTACTAGAATACAAACCAGAAAAATGTGGAATAGGAAGACGACGTTATGGCAATACTTACTTTACTTGGACGTTTTTAAGGTTTTTACAATGCGTATAGTTTACCAGTAACGTTACATGGGTCTGTTTACTCTGCACAGCTTGTCTCTCATGTTCATTACACTATTTAAGGTCATAACTTGAATCTAAAAGCCGTCTTTCTATTCCAGAGTTTTCTGGTTCTCACTGTAATTAAGGTTCTAGTTCTACTATTTACCTTGTGTAGAATCTGGCGGTCTGGATTCCAGGCATTCTTTAATATATTCGTCTCCTTTACGCAGACGCACAAACACACACTTGGAAAACCACCTGAATTAATTACGCTTAGTTTCCCAACTTAGGACTTTTTTGAGATAAACAATTTCCTTTTAATCTTAAGATAATAAATTTTCCTTTTTATGTTAGAAAGAAGTGCACCAAGCGCAATTGTGCTATCTTTTTAAAAGTAGAGTTTTAGAGAATAAATGTTAAATCTCAAAAAAACTAATTTTATATTTTAGCTTTTTTCTGTGTAAGAAAATTTCTGTTAAAAACTATAAGACTTGGTGCCAAAATTATGCTGTAATTGCTAGTTAGCATAATTTTAACCCACCTTGCATGTTCCATCCAGGGATCATCTTCAGGTTGCCAGTTTCTTAATCCACCGTCACAGTAGAAACATTTTACTTGATCAGACAACCCTAGAGAAAATATTTCATTGACTCAATGTTCTTTATATATACAGACTACTTATATTTCTTATATTCAGGAGTCTGATTATTGACAGCTGTGGTGTGACTTCTCATGATGTTTGACCCCCGGAGCAGGGTTCCTCCCAGGTTTTTTGTGGCAGGTCAGGTGGCAGGAGTAGATGGGGGGTTATTTATCTCGAATTTTTAAGTTTGGGAAAAATTAATGAATTCTATGGGAAAAATTCCCAAGAAAGAGGGGAAACTAGCTTGTGTATCCCGAATAATTTTTTCTCAAAAGCTACAAAAATTGAAATATAAATTCTTGTTGCGGTTACCTATATAATAAAAGCCAGCATCTGCGAGGTCCTGAGGCCGTTGCTTGAGGGCTGGAGGCCACTCCCTGAAAGTTCTAAGCCTAGCCTCCGGTGTAGCGTAGGAGGGATGCAGAGGTCCTGTGTGACTGATGATACCAAGGGATTCAGAATATTGGCGTTGAGCGCATGGAAATCCTAAATTATCATTATCATTATCATTATCATTATCATTATCATTATCATTATCATTTATCATTATCGATATCACTATCATTATCATTATCATTATCATAATCATTATATCATTATCATAATCATTATATCATTATCATTATCATTATCATTATCATTATCATTATCATTATCATTATATCATAATCATAATCATAATCATAATCATAATCATAATCATAATCATAATCATTAGCTCCCAAAACATTAAACAAATATTAATATATTTTTCTGTTTATAAACAGTCAGAAATAACCCAAAATTAAGTTTTTTTTAGGAAATCCCTCAATGACACAGGAAAATCTGCGAAATATGATTTTGTTATTATGTTACAAGGTCCAAAAGGCTTGCAAAATAGTCCGCATTAGCAAGCCAAGATTATTATCAGTAATATGGGCGCTTTAAATACTTTAAAATCTGTCTTACTGTGGCGCAAAAACAGCCACTCGTTAAAATTCGTTCAACAATAAAAGGGGCGGGAAAAAGTTGTATATTTTAAGATTTTTTTAAGATCTGTGAGAAATAAATGATAAGTTTTACATAAATAGGCAAGTTTTTTCTTTATCTTTTCCGTAATTTTTTCCCACATTTTTTTTCACCATTTCAGGAAAAAAAAAATAATATACATTATAAACCCCTGGAAAATAAGGCTAGAAAAAAAGGAAAACCTGCAGACGTGCAGGAGGAGAAAGGAGAAAAAAATGAATATAAATTAACTATGCCTTGTACAAATTTAATTTTTATAAACAGATAAAAAAATAAATTGAAAAAATATAAATATTTAAATCCACCAATGAAAACATGTAGTATATGTTTTAGGAAAATATACGTTACTATAATCACATAGACCTTTATCTTTAGACGTAGAAGGACTGTTATACAAAAAGGCAACCGAACTATGATAAATCCATTAATCAATGAATACAAATCCTCGCACAAACATTCTTATCAATACAGGCAAGACTAAAAAAAACTAAAGTATAACCTAAGTGTTAACAAATTCTATTTTTACAATATTGAACAATTTTTATTTTATGGCCCCCAAAAAAGTCTAAGAAACTTTTTCCTTCAAATTAAGTCGATATTAAACCGAAAATACCATGTTGATTTTTTTGACAAAACGTAAACGTACTCATTCAACAATCTGCTTTTTATCTTGATCACTAGTCATAAGATTGAGTATATAAAAAATGTTGGGCACCTTGTTCAGGATAAGTATGATTAAATGAAAAAGAAGATCGATCATGCTGTATTCTATCTCCAGCTATATCTTCAACAACCTCCATATGATCATCACTATCCATAGGTTCCATTGCATAATCACTATCTTCAAAGGAATTTATGATATCAACACTGTTTTCCGTCCTTTCTTCCCTGTGGATTAAATTTATCTCCATTGAGACTGTCTGAAGGTCAGTAGTCAACCCGAAATCTTGAGCTGTGTTACCAATTTGAAAACTAGAATGCGTCTCTAAAGAGCTTGCAGAAATTGATCTTGGTGGGCTTGATGACCATGCATTTAATTTTTGAGGACTGGATAGATTTAGCACCGGGTTTGGGTGATTTGATCTTAACCTTGAGCTTGGTAAGTTTGATAGATTTAAAGTAGATGTTGGTGGGCCTCTTTTAGTTAAACTTGAGGTTGATCTTGGTGGGCTTGAAGAGCTTAAAGAACTTGAGTTTGATCTTGGAGGGCTTGGTGAGCTTTCACGAAATGAGCTTAGAAAACTTAAGGATGATCTTGATGGCCTTGATTTGCTTTTATAAAATGAGGAAAACAAGCTTATTGACGATCTTGGTGGACTTGATGAGCTTTCACTTATTGAGCTCAAACTTGGAGGACTCGATGAACTTTCACTTATTGTGTTAAACACACTTGACGATGATCTTTGTTGGCTTCTAGACTTTTCACTTGGACTCAACGAGCTTGATGCTGATCCAAGTGGGCTTGAGTATCTTGCACTAGAACTTGATATAGTAAACGAGCTTGAAACTGATCTTTGGGGACTTGGAACACTTGCACTAGAACTTGAGGATTTAAAAAAGGTTGAAGAAGGCTTGAGAAAAGAACTTGATATATTAGTTGTGATTGATATTTTGGGAAATTTCTCTGATAATTTACTTGACATGTCTTGATTATGTTTTATTTTTTCAGATTTGCTACTATCTCGTTCCTCCCCTGATTTCTTGGAGCCTTGCTGCTGAATACTAGTAGCCATATTTTTTTTAAAAATCTAAATATTTATTTTTATTTTCTAAAGTTGATATTTGTCTACATTTTTAAATTAATTGTACATATCTATTCTGATGCGGAAATATTGGGTATGATTCAATCATTGGTAGCTATACTTTAAGTCTTTTTATTTAGAGAATATTTAGTAAAATTGATGTGACCACTTTTATCTCTGTTTCCTAGAATACAGACAACCCCAAACTGTCTCATATATTAAGCTAATAAATTAATAAAAAAGATAACAAATGCTTGGCGCCATACCAAATAAAAAAAGTCTAGAGGGTGATAGCATTTCACTAAGAACACACAATATGCGCAAATTCTCTGTATTTCCATTCAATTCTAATTTAAACCTAAATTAAATTTAAATGTATGTTTCTACAAAAAAGTAGCAAACTTTTAAATTTTAATTGGTTCAAGTGATCTTTTCCCCTGAATCTATTTGTTCAAATACTGATTCAAATACTAAGGTTATTCATATATTCAGCCATAGGATGAATTGTATTTTTCAAAACATGTTAAGGGGGTGGGGTATGGGGTGCTTATTTGTTCTCTTTTCAGGGGGGGGGGGCTAAGAACCCATTAGGGCCTGAAACCCCCCGTAGAAACTGTAAGAACTTCATTTCTTTACATTATATCAGTATGCTTACTTACATTAGGGATATCAAGATATATTTTCAAAGAATATTTTAGGTTTTTTTTTTTTAGATCTAAAATTTAACAATTATATTTTTATAACTGAAATGTCAAGATTTTTTCTTACTCAAAATTTTTTTATAGTTTCACTTTAAAGTAAATTTGTCCATGAATGTGCACGTGTAGAAGAAAAGATAAGCCTTTTGCAACTTATTTTTAACCTCAAGACTAGTCGGAAAGCCCATTACAGTAGCAGTCAAATCATGTAATATACACGTAGTTGATTACCACAAATGAAAAACAGAATAATTTCAGATGTGTATATTTTCTTTAAAATTCAATTGAATAAGTATGTTTCATGGATTTTTTAACTATCAACATAGACGAGGGAGGGGGTGCAGAGGCGCCAAAAATTACCTCCAAGCTTCCAGATTTGCAGAATGACCTTCAGGCCCCGCTAAACCGTGCCTCTCGCTACATCTCTGAGCCTCCACCATTCTGTCTCCACGCCCCGCATTTTGGTCTCCAATAAAACATTTTTGGCTTTTACATCCACCAAAAACCTTTTTTCGAGAAATCTCAACATGATTAAATACTTTATAAGGATACATCAACAATCTGTATTAAAAAGTCTATTTTAATTGAGATTTAAGGTTTAATTTTTGATTTTATAAATTAAAAAATTCACAAATTGTGAAGAGCTAATGCAGTTTTGTATAAAGAGAATTTTTTTATTATTATTTCACAGGTGTTTCATATGCGAATCAAACAATATCAGCGGCAATTCACAATACACAGGTTTGGTGAAATCCATGAATTTTTGCTTTTATTGTATGCTTAAGAAAAAGTTGAAGAAATATTTTTTTGAAAGTTGAAAAAATATTTAAAATAGTCAAAATATCTATAACATGCTATACTAACAGGACAGGGCAGTGTTCTGTCATGTACTTAAGTTTTACATATTATTAAATTGGGCTGAAAAATAGTTGAAATAAGGGGAATTAGGGCCATGTATAAAAAATTGATAAAGGTCAAAAACTTGTATACTATAGGACGGACCCTCATTAATTTGTATTTTTATGATTAAATGTAATATGTTAAGGACTCAATAGAGTTCATATAATCTTCAAATCATGATGTCTTCAAAGATATTAAAGTCATTTATAAAGGTCGCCTTTTACACATACCAGCTTTATATAAACTTTTTACAAAAAACAACTTAGAATCAATTGGATGAATTAATATTATAAATTTGTTGTTTAAACGATTTTTTAAACTATTGCGGAGTCTACTATGAAGAGATATATTTTGATTATCGGTTAGTTAAGCCATTAAAGGTAAACAAAAAATAAGAACAGCAAGCGGAGATCAAAATGCGGGGCATGGAGACATAATGGCGGAGGCTCGGAGACGAGAGGCACGCAGATGGTTTCGCGGGGCATGGAGGACATTCTGCAAATCTGGAGGCTTGGAGGTCATTTTTGCGGGGCTCATGGCGCCTCTCCACCCCCTTCCTCTATAGACATGCATAGAGAACATGTAATATCCATTTAAAACGCAGTTTCTGACCACATTTCAATCATCTTGAAAAATTATGTTCACGTGCGAAAACTTAGATTACATAATTGATATAATTGCCGACAGCAAAAAATAAAGATTCTACGTCATTTTACAAATGACACCCTGTTTTTAAATTATACATTTAATTTATTCCCATTTACTTTATAGAACATAAGCATGTATGTAAAAGGAGAAGCCTGAATAGGCTTCAGTACGGCCTTTAACACTGAAATGAAAACAAATGTGAAAACCATTTAAATCACTCTCTTAATAGATGACATTCATGTAAGTATGAAATAATATTGTATATTGTACGATAATTTCGACCAACCTTTTTCTGGTCTTGAATTAGAGAGTCTTGGCCATCTTAGTCCAGTTTCATCATGCCCTAGACAAACCAAACAAAGCCAAATTAGCATGTTTCAATCACGATAAAAAAACTAACTTGGTAATCTTTAAACAAAACAATAAAAAAAACTTTTGACTGAAAAAAAAGTGAGATACCCAACTAGTTTACTAAGGTACACCCTGATATGTGTGTTAAGGGGGTATTCTTTTTGTCTGAAAAAAAAATCTCACTATATTTAACATTTTTAAATTTTATTCAACTGTAAAATTATAAATTGGGAAGCAAAAACTGACAAGTGTTTAAGTGTTTGAGATTAACAAGCTTTGTCTCATCAAGATTCAATTAGATATCCTTGGTTTTCTCTTCAGTTCTGATTTTTTTCCACTGTGGTTTCTATGCAATCATATAAAGGTTTTTAGGGTTCCATTGTGAATCTAGCATACCCCGGTTGTAATGTAAGGACACTAGAAATTACAAAGACAAAATCCCTTTCAATAAATATAAAAATTATATTTATTATAAAAATTGAACCTGGTGAAGAGTTTCCTGGATTACTGCTCGAACTACTTTCACCCTCTAAATAGTTTACTGTTGATTTCACGTTACATTTAATAACAATACAGGGGTGTATATTTTCTTAAGAAAGCAACCCCTCTTCACCCCTTTTAAAAATAAAGTCCCCCCCCCCACCAGAAGTTGTTGTACGTTTGCACGAAACTAAAATTTTGTAAGGTTTTATTCGCTAAATTGGGGAAAATAAAAAAATTTTGGGTTAAAAGAATGAAAAAACACCAGATCTTCACAAATAAATTCTTAACAGTAAGTCCCCTGATAAACCTACCTGATTGTATAGGAATATTCCCGACAGAAAGTCCCTGATAAAACTAACCTGATTCTATAGGAATATTCCCGACAGGAAGTCCCCTGATATTTGATTGTATAGGAATATTCTCGTCAAGAATTCCCACCAGTAAGTCCTCTGATAAACCTACCTGATTGTATAGGAATATTCCTACTGGAAATCCCCTGATTGTATAGGAATATTCCTACTGGAAGTCCCCTGATAAACCAACCTAATTGATTCCAAAGAAATATTCCCGACTGGAAGTCCCCTGATAAACCAACCTACCTGATTGCATAGAAATATTCCCGACAGAAAGTCCCCTGATAAATCCACACATCGGGAAGAGTTTAGCATGTTCTTCTAGAGGAATGTCACCAACCTCCCAATCTCCGACACAGTTGTCACAAAAGGCGCATCTAGAAAACAACATAAATGTTTTTACGAATTTATTTGTCAACCCCTAAATATTTTCTTCAAATAAAATGTATTATTTTTTTACAACGTTACTCTTTTAATCAAGAATGAGTGAAATATTCTGACTCAGGCTGTAAATTGTTTGAAATCAAATTTTAGGTTCTCTATGAAGTGACCAGGGAATTCACGCTACAGAGACATTTAAGGAAATGGTCAGAATATAACAAGTTTTAAGACCTAGGGAGGTGAGTGGTATTATAAAAAAAAGACAAGAGGTTTAAAGGATATCGTCGACAGTCCCTTTAAGCATTAAAATCAGGAATGTCCTCACCTGCAGTTATCGTTCTGATTAAAGTAATAGAAACCAGCTTTGGCAAGGTCTTCAGGTCTAAAATGAACCAGTTAGAAACCTGCATGAACCAGTATAAACCAGTTATATACCATCTATAAACCAGTATAAACCAGTACAAACCAGTTGTAAACCAGTTATAAACCAGTATAAACCAGTATTAACAAGTAATAGAAACCACCTTTGCCAAGATCTTCAGGTCTAAAATAAGTTTTTATTGCATTTTTAGGGCTTGCATTGTTCCTCGGGAACGATCGGTCTTTTACGATAATGAACGGAACAGAATGAACGATTTCAAAAAAGTAGGAACACGCCTTAAGGGCTTGGTGTTGTTCCTGGAGAACGATCGTTCTTTCTCTGGAACAAAAAGAGAGGAACGAAAAGTAGTTCCCTCCCCTTGTTAACGCTTCTTATCAAAATATCTATAATTTTTCATACATTCAGTGAAAAAAATACGATCTTAATTCGTAAATTAAGTATGAAAATAGATTTTCTCAACAAAATATGTAAAACCCTGTATTGCATTCTTTTTTACCTTATAAAGGAAGTATTCCAAGTAGAAAACGTTGCCAAACGTCGAGCTTCAGATTTCATCGCATTCACGTTATTATCACTTGAAAATTTTATTTTTACAGGATAATAGAAAACATAACACTTCCCTCAAAGATCGGATTCCCAATATAATATGTACAATGTACAATGTAGAATGTACATATGAAAACATCATGATGTACCCAAACATAATCGAAATAAGGAGAGGAGAAGGTTAATTTATATTTTATTCTGATGGAGAATGATAACTATTTAACTATAGGAAGAATGTCGTCTTCGTTCTTTTTTAAGTGTGAAATTTT